GAACCCAAAAATAAATTCCTTTTATTGGAGAAGGAGTAAATTCAGGAAAACCAATCCAACAATAAATACAAAACAAAAGTAATCCAAACTTGTAAAATCCTTTGGGGAAGCGACATAAATGGAAAAGAAAGGACCCTGCCAAAAACAATAAGGATTCCTATGACCTATGGGTTTTTCTTAATTTGCGCAGACTAAATTTTTTTATTCTCTCTCCTTTCTCATAAAAAAAAAATTTTTTTTTATTTTAAAGGGGAATATTCTTATTTCCCTGTATTTTCTACAAAAGAAATTTTTGCGATTTATTCTCTCTAAAAACTTAATTGAGAATGCTTTATGTAGTAAATAAAATTTTATTCTATTTATAACCCTTGCGAGGACCCTCAAAAACAATAACTTAAAAACAATATTTTTTCTACAAGATTTTTTATATGTAGCCTTTCATGGATCCTATTGTAATTTTCCAACCTGCGGGACTCTTTAATTTATATACGAATCTAATTTTTCATTCTTAACTATAACCCGTGACTGTTAATTATAAATAAATGAATAAATCTTTCTCTATTCTTTTCTTTAAGGCTTCTTTAAATCAGCCTCTGATATTGTTATCTTATTTTTCAATTATATGTAGTAAAAAAATATATATACGAAAAATATGGCCTTTGGTGAGTCACAAAAAAATTGCAAAAATCATCTTCTTAACGCAAGGCGTGTGCGTTTAAATGATAAGATTTAAGAAAAATAAAAGGCAAAAAATTTAGATCCTTAGCCATCATTTTGGCTTTAATTTTATAATTTGTTCCAATAAATTTCATTTTTGAAAATTTTCAAAAAAAATTTTTTTTTGAAAATATCGAAACAAAACAAAAAACTGTGATTTCAATACATATTTGATTTCGAAATCCCAAAAATATTTTACTTATTGGAAGAAGAGCAAAAAATTTTAATAACTCTTTTTTTTTCTTCTACTGAGTTATCTTTTTTCTTATTTTTCTTTCTAATTTAAATGAGTAATGAATTTCAGCGTAGCTCACATAAGTTTTTAACCTTTCTCTCTCAAGCAAGCCTTATTTAGACTGGAAAAAAATTAATTCCAGCTGGCTTAATAAATTATTAAATATCAATCAAAGAAAAACTATAACCTCTGCGGAGGCCACACAAAATAGATTCGAAACAATTTTTAAGTCAAATTAGACACGAGGATAAACAAATTCCATAAGTCTACAAAAGATAAACTTTGCTTGGGCCCTCAAAAATAGTAATGGAAAAACTATATTTCTCAAAACATGAACCAATTTTACTTCATAACCTGCGGGTTCCATTTAATATTAAAATTCTGAGGGCAGACATTAAATTTTCATTTCTCGTTCTTACAAATTTTTTCTAATTAACTTTTCAATCAGTCTCTCTTTAGAAAACATTTGAAAGTTCTTTTTATTCTTCCTTTTAATTGTCTAAATTTCCCTCAATTTTCCCAATATCGAAAATATACAAAAAAATTTTAGGAAAAATTACAATTTTTTTTCTATAACAAAGTCCATAAAAAATCTACTTTATTACACATTTCCAAGAAATTTATTTTTTATCTTTCTATTAGTTCAAAAAATGTTTCCCACAGGAATTATTACTATAAGCCACAATAATCTCTTCTCAGTGATCGGAAGTCAATTTTACAATAAAATTTTCTTCCTTTTCATTTTAATGTGAACAATTCCCATATAGTAAAAAATCATATTACTTTTACAAACATTTATTAATCTTACTTTCATAAATAAAAGATTAGTCATTGGGAAAGCTGGAACAAAAAGCTGAAATCTTAGCATCTTAATCTCATTTATATCCTTCTCCTCATAAATACTTTCATCATTGTGTTTTTTCAAATATTAATTTATTTTTATTTATTTTAATTATTTTTATATTATTTATTTTTATTTTTCAGGTTTAAAATTATTATTAATTCCAATCTCGAATAATTCAATGTCTTTTCTTCCTAATGAGGAAAGATCCTCACAATCTTCAAAAAACGATAATACAATCAAAACTCCTGCGGGAGCCATTAATGAATTAAAGAAAAATCCCGAGGGATTCCATTATATTGGTATGCTCACGACAGAAAACGCTCCTACATTCGCAATTTTCTCAGGGAATTCGGTAATTGAGTTTGTACGATGGGCCAGGAAATTCAAAGATATAATCGAATGCAATGGTAAGTGGGATGAAACAGACAAAATTGCCCGTCTCAAAGTATGCTTAGACGGCAAGGCAAGAAAAATATTTGACAAAATACCCCAAGCTGAAAAAGCAACTCTTGAGGGAGCCATTAACAAAATCAAAGAAAATTTAGATACAACACAAAATCGTGAGCTAATCTTCAAAGCTCTAAGCATATGCAAACAGAATGAAGGAGAATCAGTAGAACAATTTGCTTCCAGATTAATTCCTATGATAGAAGCAACTTCTACAGACCACATAGGAAATTCGGAAGAAGTGCTTTGTCGAACCTTCCTAGAAAAGCTTAGCCCAAATCTTCAATTTCTCACAAGAACACTGACTGGGCCTAACAGGACGAACTTCGACACACTACTCCTAAATGCTCAAGAGGCAGAACTAATGTTATGCGCAAACTCAAATCCAATGCTCAGTCCTTTATGCCTAATCAATGATCAAAGCACTTCACTGAGAGCAAACACAGACGACGAATCAAATGAAAATAATTGCAATAAAACCCTGTGGGGTTCACGCAAATTAAAAGGTGAAACAATCAAACAATATAACAACAAACCAATGTGCAACTATTGTGACAAGGTAGGTCATTTCGAGATCAGTTGTAGGAAACGACAGAACCAGGAAGAATATCCAACACTAGAAGAAGTCGTCGAAGAACAACTCATCATCAAAGAAATGCTTAGAGAACAAGGTGAAATATTAAACGCCCTTGTCAGCAAAATTAATGAACTAACAACAAACCACTGAGGTGGCCTACAGCATCTCTTCATTTGTGCTTAAAGATCCTGTGTATAGGTATGGTAAATATGTGATAAATGCATATTAGCCACTAATTTCAGAATTTTGAAACCCTTAGAACAAAAAAAACTAGAATGGGGTTCCAAAAGGTCAAAAATCTTTAAAGTTCTGATGCGCTAGGATAAAGAACTATATAATTGAAGTAGATCTCATATTCAAACTTGATTCTGTCAAATCCTCAGTATCAAGGGAAAATCTCAATAAACTTAAGTTAAAAAAAATTTTTTTCTTTGAACGTTACGCAAATTATTAATTTATTTTTCTAAATATAAGTCCTGCGGGACTCTCACATGTAACAAAAAATAAATGAATATTAAAAAAAATTAAATCCTGAGGGATTCATGTAATATAAAAATAAAAAGAGGACCAGGGACGGTCCATTGGAAGGTTAGAGGTGTAGAGGATGGTCAAATCTTAACGACCAGGGACGGTCTATTGGAAGGTTAGAGGTGTAAGGCTGGGTTCATCCTGAAATCACGTGAACAATGATGTCGCTATAAACATTGTGCTAAGTTACGGAAGTTCCCAGAGAAAAGGCAAAGAACGCCACAAACGGCCATTCCCAGAGTTATTATCCGCCCATTATCTAAGCTTATTATCGCCATTAACTTATCCTTGGGAAAGCAATAGGGAAGTAAGCTGGTGCATATAAGCTCTAATGGAATAGGCAAAGGCGGATCACTTCTTCATTCATTCAACAGAGTTGCCGGCCGGCCAATCCATCCTTGTAGGGAAGAGCGCTCTCCCTATATTCCCCCACTGCGTGCGATTCGCCTATTTCTATACTCTGCGGAGTTCACACATGTCTGCAGCATGCGCGACTTTGCTTATAACATCAACTAACTAACGAGGCACTGGGGAACGGGACCAACCGCTTTACTATAATTATAAAAAATCAGCAATTTATATAAAATTTTTTTTTGATCAAATCGTTATTTAAAAAATATTTTTTCAATCAAAGATTGTTCACTATTAAACACAATTTATGTATAAATGACAAAAAAGGGAATAAAAAAATCATTTTAAAAATTTAAATGAAAAAAATGGTCAAAAAGCGAAAGCGAAGAATAAAATAATAAGGAGAGAAAAGAGAAAAATATTTGTATTGAGTTTTTGCTTTTAAAAAATCGTGAGGGGTGGACTGACATTAAAAATAACAAGCACGCGTGCTCTCGTAGTTTGTTACTATTTTTAGAAGAGTTCGAATAAAGGGATGGAGGGAAATTTTTTAAATGCTTTTTAAAAGTTTGCGCTGCACTTTGCATATTTACAAAGGGTTGTAGTTTCTATTTTTGTAAACTAACATAGTTAGATTCTCAATAGAATAAGTGGTTGGTAATTGAAAGTGAGAGAATATTTAATTAATGTTTTTAATGTTTTATTTATTGTATTTTGCTTATTTGCCTTTTTAATTATAAAACGTTTATTAAGTTAGGTAGTTACGTACTTTATTATGTTTTTAAAATTAGCAAGTTTGTAAACCTTTTTAAGCTTGCAACTTTTTAAGCCTGCAATAAACTTAAAACTTAAGTTTGCAAAAAAAGTTTATTAATTTTACAAGTTTGTAAAGTTTTTAAAGTTTATTGTTTGCAAGTTTGTAAAACTTGTTTAAGTTTGTTATTAAAAAGTCAAGTTTTTCAAGTTTATTTATTTTCAAGCTTGCAAAACTTATTTAAGTTTGCAACTTTTCAAGTTTGCAAAACAAGTTTATTTATTTAATAGGTTTATTTGTAATTTTTAAAGTTTATTTATTTTCAAGTTTGTAAAACTTTTTTTAAAGTTTGCAACTTTTTAAGTGTGCAACTTTTTAAGTTTGCAAAACAAGTTTATTTATTTAATAGGTTTATTTGTAATTTTTAAAGTTTATTTATTTTCAAGTTTGTAAAACTTTAAGTTTGAGTTTAATGTTATTAAAAGTTAAGCTTTTAAGTTTTTTGTTTTAAGTTTGCAACAACAAAACATATCTTTAATAAACCTACATTGAAAAGCTTTATTTGTATGATGATATTTACTTGTCCCATTACTTTTAGGCACACTCCCATTTCTTTGCTTTTTCTCCTCAGATTGAGCTGATGATAATCCTGTAGTTTCCGTCTCCACAGAAGTGTATAATTCCTTTCCACTACCAAAAAGTTCATCGTCAATAAAATAATTGTTTAGATTATTTATTTGTTGCTGATTTTTTAATTTCTTCTTTTGAAATTCTTTTATTTTTATTTTTTCAGTGGAAGAATTTGGAAGGTGTTTTGGGCTTTTCTGAGGTGTTGTTTTAATATTGGATTTTGTAGTAGTCTTCTTCTCTGGACTGAAACTTGAGCAACTTTCAGCAACGGCTGTAGATGTTGTAGCATGCAAATAACTTCCACTCCCACTACTGCTAGTGCTTCGAGCTAGGAGAATCTACAAAAAAATATAATGTTCATCTACATGTTCTGCTTGAACTTGTCCATCAACAAGTACTGCTTGACTTATTGATGGACAAGTCCTGTTTGAACTTGTTGATGGACGAGTACTGTTTGAACTCGTTCACGAGTACTGCCTGAACGCGTATATCAAGTACTACTTGAACATGTTCATCTACAAGTACTGCTTGAACTCGTTGATTTTTTGACCGAAAAATAAATTTAAAAAACTTGCCACTTGTTGGTCAACATCAACAAGAGGGGTAGAATTCGATTTTCCTTTAACATTCTTCCTATAATTAAGGGATGATGAGCTTCGATGAGTAGGAGAAATACTGACGGCGGCGGCCAATAAATTTTTTTGAAGCCAATCCACGGCTGATAAAAGCAATTAAATTTTGGTATAAAACCTGAAGCAATAATAAACTTGAAAGTGAGATTAAACTTGAAAAATTAAACATAAACTTGTGGAAACAGCAAACTTGTAATAGAAAACAAGTGCAAACTTGAAAATAATACCAAAGAAAACTTAAGTGTAAAGTTGAAAGAAAAAATAAACTTAAGAACAAACATGAAGACAAACTTGAAAACAAACTTGAAATCAAACAAACTTAAAAACAGCTCAAAAACAAATAAAACAAACTTAAGAACAAATTCACGAACAAACTTAAAAACAAACTTAAGACAAACTTAAAAATACACAAAACAAACTTAAGGACAAACTTAAGAACAAACTTAAAAACAAGTAAAAAACAACAAACTTAAGAATAACACAACCTTAAAACAAACTTTAAAATAAGATTGTAAACGAACTATTAAAAATCTTTAAAAATAAAATTTATTTGAATGAATAAAAAATCTGAAAAATTGTTCTAATGCAACCATCTTTTTTTTCTTCTTCCTAACATCCATTTCCTTCCCCCTACCATTTTATTTGTTCCAGACCGCTACCCGTTTTTGGTCCAATTAAATTAACCGATTTTCTAATGTTAACAAAAAAGACAAATAAAAATTGACAAAAAACAAGTTTCCGGAAAAGAAAGGGAAACATATTAGTTCACAAAGGAGCTGCTTTGTTTTTACTATAAGGGAAAGGGGGATGAGCATTAAACATGGATTTCCTGAAGGGATATATTGGAACATTGAATGACAAGGGAGAGGCAAGAAGAACTTTAAGATAGCATATTTCTTTTAATAGACCCGTGTTTCTAATTTTTAAAGGGAGGGAGTCATTCTGCTAGAAAGGGGCATTCAAAAGCAGAGGGTGCATTCCATTAGAGGAAATATAAGAACTGAAATGTTAATTGACCTATCCTATAGAAATCCACAAAACAAAAAAATATTAAAACAAATTTAAAGTCAAGGATGGATTCACTCAAAAAATATCTATTTCTCCTTCAGCTAATCCAAATGATTTAGGTAGCTGAGAGCGAACCAGCATCCTAAGGTGATCGGATTCACAACTCCAGCATAGCCTTCGGAATTAAATATCTGGAGATGGGCCCTGCCGTATTTTAAAAATCGGAAGGAGACGTAGGAAAAACGAAAGACCGAAGGCAGAAGCGGAAGAGCAAAAAACTAATGTTCGACAAGAGGACTTCTTCAATACCAGGAGTAACAAAAAATAGCGAATCGGGATTACTTTAGGGATACCAGGAGTAAGGAAACGTGCCGAACTCAACCACACCAATAAAATGTTAATTGACCTATTCTATAGAAATCCACAAAACAAAAATATTTAAAAAACAAATTTTAAAGTCAAGGATGGATTCACTCAAAAAATACCAACCCAATAAAGAAGAGGATAAACAGCTTTTCACTCCTTCCATAAAAAGAGGAGTCCAAGTAAAGGCCAGTCAACAACAATAAGCTTAAAGAAGAGCTCAACTAAAGAAGTGAGAAATAAATTATTCGGAACTCCCTAGAGAAAACCCCCCAAAAAGCTTTAGACTCTGGGTAAGGATGAGTCGGTGAATATAAAAAAAGGGGGAGAAAAAGGGGGAGAAAAAGAGGGGAGAAAAAAAGATAGCCGCGGTTTTTTTTGCAGATAATAGCGCCAAAAATGGGAGAAAAGAGGGAGGGAGATATATTTTTTAAATTTATTTATATAGATATTTTTAGTTGGAAAATGTTTTTGGTGGTTCTAACACTTTCCACAAATATAGGGGGAGGCAACAAGCTACATAGTAGGGAGAAAAATGACCATTGGAAGGAAAAATGGAGGGGAGGGAGGGAGGGAAAGATTTTTATAGAATAATAAAAGTAAAAAAAGTTAGGATTTTTTTTAATAAAAATAATTTTTAAATTTATTTAAAGTAAATTAAAAAATAATATGATTAAAATATAATTAAATACATTTTTGTTCAGAAAAAATTTAAATACTTCCGATAGAATTATTTAAATCGCGACCTAAAAATTAAACAAATTTTTTAAATTAAATTTTAATAAAAGTATTAAATTTATTGAAATTAATTTTAAAAAATTTTATTAAAAGATAATCTGAGTTAACGACATTTGCGAACAAAAATTTCAAGCTCACGTATTTTGTTACAGTAAATATTAATATAGGGAGTTAAATCTATATTATACTAACACTAAATCAGTAACATACGGATACATACTTTTTGTATTTATTAAGTTTTGCTAGTCGTTTGTATCAATTTTGACAAGTCAGTTTTTTTCGCAATTGTCGGAAGGTCCGCAATTTTTGTACTATTAAGGAGAGAAAAGGAGAGAAACCTATTTAAGGAAAATTAGAATACAGTGAGAGAAGATAGAATAGGGCAAAATACTAGGGAAGATAGAGAATGTTTTTGCAAAATTTGCAACCTTTTGATTTTTGTATTTGCGCAAATAAGTTATTTATTTACCTTTTATCCATCTTCACGTCGCCATATATACTCTTCGGATTATATATCGGAAACAATTTTTGACTACTCAACAACAATCTCCCCCAGCACTGCACATGACCCCCAGCACAGCACCAAAGCTCACATCAATACCGTTCCCAGACATTTCAATATGCCGAGGACGTTATTCGTAACGGAGCGAAATCAACGTTTGAGGAAAAGAATGGCCTCACTAGTTATATATAGACGACAATTTTTGACTCAACAACAATCCCTTTTCACTGCACATGACCCCCAGCACAGCACCAAAGCTCACATCAATACCGTTCCCAGACATTTCAATATGCCGAGGACGTTATTCGTAACGGAGCGAAATCAACGTTTGAGGAAAAGAATGGCCTCACTAGTTATATATAGACGACAATTTTTGACTCAACAACAATCCCTTTTCACTGCACATGACCCCCAGCACAGCACCAAAGCTCACATCAATACCGTTCCCAGACATTTCAATATGCTGAGGACGATATTGACAACAGAGCGAAATCAACGTTTGAGGAAAAGAATGGTCTCACCAATTATATATAGACAACAAAATTTTTGACTCAACAACAATCTCCCCCAGCACTGCACATGACCCCCAGCACAGCACCAAAGCTCACATCAATACCGTTCCCAGACATTTCAATATGCCGAGGACGTTATTCGTAACGGAACGAAATCAACGTTTGATGAAAAAGAATGGCCTCACCAGTTATATATAGACGACAATTTTTGACTCAACAACATCCCCCTGCACAGCACCCAAGCTCACATCAATACCGTTCCCAGACAATTTCAATATGCTGAGGACGATATTGACAACAGAGCGAAATCAACGTTTGAGAGCAAGACTGGCTCGCCGTCAAAAAGCGCCGGAAGGTTCGTCTCAAGGCGACTAAATCAAAATTTCCGGAAACATCAATTTAAATATTAATCATTATTAAAAATAAAACCAAAATACGCGTCTATTTTTTTAAATTTAAAACTTGAACAACAATAAAAGTGGAAAATTAATAAAAAAAAATATAATAATGTGTGTGTATTGGTCTATACTTTTCTCCGTTAAATTGCCAGCAAAAATTTTCCAACAACAAAAAACAAACAAACGAAAAAACAAAAAAAAATTTTTGTAAAATTGACGTTAATGTGACACCCTTTTTTCATCTCTCCCAGAATTCCCCCCATTATTTGCTGCTGACACAAACTCGACCAAGAAGGAGTTGTGGCAATAAGTCTGCTTTTTAGAATAGAACCTGTGGAAGGTTAGAATAGAACCTTCCTTATCCACCCCCTTTCTTTGGCTGAATAAGAAAGAGAACAAGGGGCTTCTCTCATCCTCTCCCTAACAAGAGGACATTCAAACTGACAGTCAGAACTTTCTACCTTTTTTTGGGTACTAATCAACAGTTCATAATCAATTTACTCTAAAAATTTTTAGCTTTTTTTGGCTAGGAATTTGAAATTAAAAAGTTATGAAACTTCAAAGTTTGCAAAAATTAGGATCGCTTAGGGGACAAAAAAGTACAACACAGTTTTGACTGACAGTTTGGGATGTCAGTTTGGAAAAATTTAGATCAAAAAGATCCAAAATCATTTGGATGTCCAAAATGATTTACAACCAACAATTAATCCAATCGGAGAGAGAAATGCCACAAATCCTTCAAGATTGAGATTTTTAGTGGCAGCGTCAAATATTCTATAGAGAGGAATTCTGGAAAAGATGAAAAAAAAGGTGTCCCCAAAACTACAATTTTACCACAAAAAATAGCAATATTTTTTTCTTAAATTAATTTTTTTTATTGAGTTTCTCACTAAAAAATTTTGAAAAATATTTCTTAAAATTTCAACCAACAATTAATCCAATTCCAAATCTTCCCTGTGATTTAACATGATTGAGCATTCCACTTAAGGCTAAAGTAAAAGGAAATTGTTTTGATAATTTCTTTTCTAAAACAGCTCCAACAGTCCAATTTGTATCACAACAAGCACGTAAAATTATTGAATCGGGAATTTCTATTTGATAAGCAAATGTCGTATTTACATCCTTAAAAAATTAATTTTTTAATATAGAAAATAAAAAAATTTTTTTTGAAAAATCAGAGAAAATTAAAAGATTACAGGAAAATGAGAGACGGCAGAGAAAATTCGTTCAAGAAACCTCTTTCTTGACTGGGCAAAAAAGATTTCTTCTGAGTTATCAATTGATAAGTTTTTTGCTTCCAGCTATTTTCCTCATTAGTCGGAACTATATAAGATACCCTCAGGATTAGAAGCCACCCACCCTCAAAATAGGAGAAAATAGAAAATTTTAGGAAGGGAAATGGTCAATAAGGGAAGGGAAATGGTCATAATAGGAAAAGAAATGGCATCTTTTACAACCTCCAAAATTCTCAAAATGTCGAAAAGATAGAAAAATATATGTATAAAAAATGTGCGTTCGAAACGCCAATGCAAACGCCAAAATTTTGGTCCAAACCCAATTTTAACCCCCCCTCCCCCTCTGAAATCGGCCCTGTATCTACATCCTTACTCACTATACTTGGAGACAAGTTGACAATCCTAAAGTGATATCTTACAAGGGACCCCCAAACATTATTAACACAACAACAAAAAAATCAGTATAAACCTGCATACGAAAATTCGCTTCCAATTCAACACCAAATTGCAAATGATCACTCTGTTTATGGTAATAACATAAATGAGCTGTAGTAAAAGAAGCTGTAGCAGAATTAAGTGCTGTCGATCCAGAAAATATATAATCAGGCATAGTATAACGAGCAGCATAAGAAAGGGCGCTGATTTGGCCTCCTATTTAAAAGAAAAAAAATTTTTTTAATGTGAAATTTTTAAGACGTTTGTTAGTCCATCCAAAAACACATTTTAATGGTTTCTTAATAAAAAACTAAAAATCTACACGAGCTATGAGCATTAATTTTGAGATTCTTTGGTTTTTAAGACTCCATATCCAGCCGATTTTTGCTTCCTATTTTTAATTTTTTGAAGGAATTTTCGCATGAGATTTTTTAAATGTTTCTAAAAGGATACTAAAAGGGACCAAATTAATACTCACAGTCCAGGCAGCTCCCCTAAATTGCAGTAAAAAAGGGAGTGCTGGGACCATTCTGTAAATCTAATCTAGGCACAAATACATTACATATAATCACTAAGGATAGCTTTTGGGTTAGCCAGACCCAAGCTAATACCTCTGCTAATGTAAGCTACACCGGCGTGCTTCTTATAATGAAAAAAAGGAATCTTTGTTATGCGCTAAAGCTATGAGTGTCATTTTCCACCAAATTCTTCGGTTAATCAAAGCTTAACCGCAAAGCCAACCATAAATGTTCAGTATGGATCTAAAACCGATAACCTACTCAAAAGCCCAAAAAGTTTTCTCAAATCCTAATTTGAAAAAATACACATTCATAGCCTACCCAATAAATTTATTTAAAAAAACCTGGCATTCTCGGATCCTTCTGATAAACAAATTCAGCACCCAAATCTAATCGTTCAGTCAGCCTTCGAAGATATTGGGCAACAAAAACGCCATTACCATTAAATGGATTTAAATTTGCCAAAGTCATTCCGATCGTTGAAAGGCGTCCACGCCGTTCAAGTGAAACTTGTGCAGCAGCTAATTTACTCATCTAAAAATATTGAAAGGAAAAAGAAAAGTTGGATTTTGAACAGTGGAACCTGGCACCCAGCCCCAGATAATGAATCACTAAACCGAAAAATTGGAAAATTCTCCAGAAAAGCAAAAAATTGAATTTTAAACACTTTTAAAACACAACCAATATTCGTCTGAAACAAGACCCATCAGGTATGCATATCAAGTATCCCGCCCCCAAATGGGGCCCATGATACCCTCGAAATATGTAAAACGTTCCCCCATAATTTAGATAGGATTTTTAAAAGAATTAGTTCTAGACGAATATATAGGTTGTGTTTTAAAGATCAAGTTTAAAATGGTTCACTTGCAATTTTTGGTTATTAAATAAAATACAAAATACCAAGGTGGACAGTGACTCAGAAAAGGATAGAAGACTTAAGCAAACCTGCTCATGGATACGGATGTGAATACAAATATTATCAAGATGCCTGCGGATATCTGCCAGTATCTGCCGTAAATATCCGGATACCAAAATCAGTATCCGTGAGCAGGTCTGGACTAAAGTACCAAAATATCGAACAAATATAAAATTCAAAATTAAAACTTCAAAAAACCAACTTGAACTTGTCCTTGTAACTTCATCCGATATCGTCCAATTTGATGAATAATAGTCCCAGCAGTATTCCCAAACAAATCCATATCACCCAACAAAACAGGAAATGCCTCGCCTGGACCAGTTAGTTTAGTGCCAACATAAGTAGCTCCCAAACGATAACCTGTGGCCGCTTGAGAAATGCTCATACTATGAGAAATCTGAAAAAACAAGAAATTAATTTTGGAAATGTTGGAGAAAAATAAAAAAATCTGTAAAATGGGCGAGTCATCGAATTTTAAACAAAATTTTCGAGCTGTTAGGCACAAAGAAAAAGTTATGGAATGTTAAAAACCCTTTTGATCTTGACCTTGAATGAAAAAAACACAAGGGTAGATCAGAAGTGGGCCGGGTTGAGGAGAAAGTCAGGTCGGGTTTCTAAAAGTTCTCCAGTCAAAAACAGTCTAGATTTCGGATAATCCATCTTTTTCTTGATATAAATTCAATCCACTAATTAGAAATGGGCTTGGATCAGGACCCAGCCCTCATTCAAGTTTTTTCAGGTTTGAGAATCAAAGACTGATTTTGATTTGAGAATCAAATCAAAATCAAATCAAAGAATCAAAAAATCAATCAAAAATCAAAGAATCAAAATCAAAGAATCAAAGACCTTGCAAGGCTCCTAGAAATTCTTGACTCAATCTCACCCCAAAAAAGTCATCACTTGAAATCGAGTTCAAGGTCAAACGTCCAAAGGCATTTTTATATTTCCTATAGCTAACCTAACACCCTCGTTTTCAAAAGAAACATAAAAAATTAAATTAAAATCATACTTGAAAACGCTGACTCAACGGTTTCTGAACCATTCCTTTCGCTCCTTCAAAACAGACCGGGAACAATTCTTTGCACTTTCTACAAGGTAAAATGACAATTAAATTAAACATAAAATCCAAAAAAACCTGTGCAATTCATCATACGAACCAGGATTTTTTTCATTTTCATCTTTTAAAAATGAATCTGGAAGCGAATCTAGCTGGTCAGCCATTTTAATCTTCAAAAACCTCTAAAAAATTGAACAAATTTTAAAAAAATTGAGGAAAATGAGTCAAAAAACGAACAAAAATGACTCAAAAAAGCCATAAAAGAAAAAAAAAATAAGCAAAAAAATTAACTCTTTGATAAATTAATTGGCAAAACACCAAATAAAATTAACGCCAAGAAAATTAACATAACGCCAAAATAAATTTTATCATTTGTGACAAAATGTCAATTTTTACCCCTTGTGACATTTTGTCGCTCTACACTTTGTGGCATTTTGTCGTTTTTTCCCTTCATAACATTTTGTCGTGACTAACAGAAAAAGTCTCCTCTTCTTTAGAAGCATATTATTTTTCCTCTTTCCTTCTCTCTTTTTTTGGTCTCTCATATTTCTCTTACATCTTTTCTACTATAAGGAAAACTATTTCGTTTAATTTCTCACATACTCCTTTACAACCTATTTAATATTTTTTAAAATGAATTCCATTTGTGTTTGACTTTTCTTCGTTAGGTTATCGCTTCTCGGCCTTTTGGCTAAGATCAAAGTGTAGTATCTGTTCTTTACGGCTTAATCTCCGTAACGATCCCTACCGGGATCAAAGAGATTAACCAATTTTTGGAAAAGGGTAAGAGTTGGAAGCTTGCTTCTTCTCTGCCGCGCGTCGGCCCGGTCTTGCACTTACCTCCGGGAACGGCGCATTCCTCCCTTATAGGGAGGATCAAAATCGAGTCGGTAAAAGTATTGTAGTCTTAATAACTGCTTCAACTGATAGAGAAGTGATCTGACTTTTAAGTTTTTGTTTCTAGGCAGAAAATGTAATAATAGACTACCATCATCAATGGATTGTAGTTTTAACTTTTCTTCTCGTTCATTTATCGCTTCTCGGCCGATATCGTTAATACTAATCTCTCAATGTCCAATAAGTTAGGAAAAGTTTTAAAACTATTTTAAAAAAATTTGTAAGAGGTTGTTATTTATTCAATTAAAAAAGGTGTGAGGATGTAAAAAAACAAAATCTATCTACACAATTTTAAAATAAAAGAATCCATTTTGTACTAATTATCTCTCTTATTAATTGCATAAATCTATGTACTATTAAGTTTTTCCGGATAAGGATAGACATAAAGGGTAGAAGAGAGACAAATTCCGGAACTTATACATACAAAATACCGACAAAAATAAGATTTCGGGTATAAAAGACAAAAAGGTACATGGGCAAAAACCGACAAAACGGTACCACGGCAGAAAATGACAAAATGGTACCACGGCTAAAAAACGATAAAAAGGAACACTTTTGAGGAGGGTTTTTTCCATAAAATTTTTTCCTCTACTAAAAAATCACTAAAAATTTTTTCAAATTTTTTATCCTTGATTATCATTCCTTCCTTTCTTCTTTTTTATTTTTTCCAAATTATTTTTATGTTTTCTTCCTTCCAAATGTTTTTTCCAATGCATTTTTCCTTGAATTTCTGTTCCACAAATATCACACAAGAAAATTTTTTTCCGATTTTCCATATAATCTTCTTGTTTAAACATGTCCCCCAATGGTGGTAATTTATATAATAATCCATTACATTTTTTTTCATCATCAATTTCTTCTCCAAACAAAAATTGTTTTACTTGTTTTAATGCAAATGGGACCAATTTTTCAGCAAAATCTTTTGAGGAATTTAATGCTAATGTTTTTGGGATCTTAAAAAAATAGAAAAAATTATGGAAAAATTGATTAAAAAAAGTTTAAAAATAAAAAAAAAATTTTTTTTGTGGTTGTATAAACAAACCACAAGGTTTTAATTCCAGCAAAACCCTATATTGGGGACTATAATTGTCAGTTAGAACAAAAAAAATAACTTCAGATATCCGGAACCAAAACTGAATTTTAGGTAAATACTGACACCCCGATAGAGATGGGTTCATTTTTCCAAAAAACCCAAATTCTTGTTCAAGGGTCTATCTAATAAATAGGATTTGAGGACCCGGATTTGAAAAAGGCCAAATATCCAAAAAAATTTCAGTTCGGACATTGGTTTTAAACATCCGGGGAAGTTCCCAGAAATTCTCCAATTTACAAACTAAATTAATTTAAAAACCCAAAGAAGAAAAGGGTGAAAAACGAAACTAAATTAAAGACAAAAAACGGAAAAGACATTGTTAAAAACGAAAAAATTTTCACCGATTCTAGGTGATTTAGGCTACCCTTACCCATTTTCCTGAGAAAAAAATAAATAAATTTTTTCCCCAATCAAAAAATAAATAAACAAAACAAAAACCTCTCTATGTTCTCCTCTATTTAAAATTCTATTGTAAAACCAAAGCCTCTGTCTCTGTGCATATTGTCTATTTCTTGTTTTTAATTTTTCTTTACATTCTTCAATTTTGTGTTCTCCTCTAATTGAATTTCTTCCAATTATATTTAAACGTAAATAGGGCAAAAACTCTTTTGGACCAATTATTTGCATTATTCCAAATTTATCAACTTTTCCAAAATACTGGAAAAATAAAAAAAATATTTTTAATTCAGGAAGAAAATCCAAGATTTAACGATTAAAAATTCGCCACTTTCCACCTTCCTGCAACCTTCCTATACAGAAGTTTCGGATAACCTGACCAGAGGAAACCGACTTCCTATTTAGGGAAAGGCATTCTTCCTATTACCAATTTTTGGTTAATGAACAATTTTTTTGAAAAAGTTATAGGGCCCCTTTTTAGTGCCCAACTCCCAGAAATCGTCAGTCTAACGAGTGGGAATGTCAAACCCCAAAAATAATCTGATTGTGAGTCAAGTTTTCAAAAAATTTTTTGGTCGGGTTTAGGGTCGAAAAAAAGTTGGAAGATTCGAATAACCCTACCCATTTCTGAAATAGAAAAAGAGGACAGAATAAAAAATAAAAAAATTAACCTCATCATAAAAATCAGTAACTTCTTTTAATAAGCCCCTTTCCATCATTTTATCAACTCTTTTATTTAATCTTTCATTTAAAACATCTTTTTCCATATCCAAATTAATTAAAAATGTGTTTTTGAAACGCAGACGAGTATAAAAATGATCATAACCTTCTAGAAAAAATTAAAATTTAAAGAATTAAAAATTGATTTTCAATTGAAAAAAGCTCATTTTTACTTATATTTTTCCAAAAAATGACAACCACAGGGTTTGGGCAATGTATCAGTGAGCTAACTCCCCCTTGCTACGCATTTGGATGCTGGGTATATTTTCGGGAGATAGTTTTGGAGCATGCTTTCTGCCGGAGACGGAGCTAAAAATTTAAATGCCCGGAGCCTGAGCCAAGATCTTAAAGGAGGCTGGAGCCATAAAACACCCAACATATCAGAATTGGCCCAACCCACTAATGGCCTTAAGCTTTATTTTTTTAAGTTTCAAGTTCTTAAAAAAACAAAAAGAATCACAAAAATGTTGATACTTCCCAATAATATTATTAAATATTTAGTCAGTTAAATAAAAAAAAGAAAAGTTGTTCCCCTCACCCATCCCCAAAATTAAAGATTAATTTCAAAAAAAAACATAAAAAATTATTTTGATTTTGTGGTCTTTACTTTTTTTTACATATGTAGAGAGTGTCTCCCCTCGCTTTTAATTAATTATAATTAACTTTTAAAAATATTTTTTGACCAAGTTTTTGTGAAAATTCCCCTCTCCCTTCCCTTCAAAAAAAATTTTTCTTGATAAATAGGAAAGTAAACAATTTTCTCATTAATTTCCATTAAATAAAAAAAAGGAAAGGGAAACCCCCAAAAATTTTTGTTAACAAAAACAAAACCTGGAGCCTCTTTTTGCTGCTCTTTTTGATGTTCACTTCTAGTTTTCCCCGTAGTTCGATAAATTTCGAGTGCCCGCAATACTCTATGTTTGTTATTTCTGTGAAGCTCTGATGCTGTTTCTGGATCTACTCGTTGAAGTTCTTGATAAAGTGTATCGACTGTAGGGAATTCTTTGAGTATTTCTTCGCGGATTGTTTCTGAAAATGACAGGTTAAAAAATTTAAAGGGAGGACCACGAGGTCTTGGCTATTGACTCAACCCCTAATTGAAACTCGTTAAATAATCCCGTTTGAAGTAAAAAGGGAGAATAGCGTGTTTTTTTACCTAATTGCTCTACCCTAGAATCAACTGGAAATTGACTTGATCCGACTTTTATAAGCCCTGGGGTAGACTGGTCTGAGTTACACTACGTTCCAGGGCCCCAGAAAAAATCCTGTCTAACAATAAGGAATTACTACTTTCACATAAAAATCACGCGCGTCTTGCGACAAAAACAAGACGTCGGTGAAAGACGCTAGTATGTGTCCACACAAAACTAGCAGTTGTCGCCGTGATATTTTTATGTTAACGGAAGATGATTTTATGCGAACGATTTTCATATTAACGTTCTGTCCCGCCAAGGCTCATGGTCAGATGGCGGGAGAGAGAGTCCCATAGCCAGCAAAAATTTTTTCTGGGGGTGGGTCCTCCTCAAATTTGTTGACCTTCCCCATTTCTTGGGGGATGGGGGGGGGGCTTGGATTCAGATCCCCAACCCTAAAGACCTAGCATTAAATCGAGGCGTTACACTTCCCCTCAAAAATTATTTATTCAAAACAAACCTCCTTTCCCTCTATCACCAGTAACAATCAAATTATTATCAAAAATAACAGATTCAATATAATAAGCAGTCCCTCCAACAATTACAGGCAATTTCTGTTCAGCCCACAATTTATTTAAAATTTCCAAAGCATCCTCACGAAAATTTTGGACGTTGTAACCTGAATTTGTTGGCTCTAAAAACCCCAAAAGATGATGGGGAATTCCTTCCATTTCTTCTTTTGTCATTTTATTTGAGGAAATATCTAGGCCTGTAAAAGGATAGAATTAAAAAAATGTGAAAAATAAGTGTCCGCAAATTTTGTCCGCAAAAGGTTAAATGGCCCCTATGAGCGAGTATTTTTAAGGTAACCCAAAAAAGAAAGTGGGAAATGAAATTCAATATTAAAATTTCGGTTAAATAATTATAAGAAAAAAATAAGTTAGGGAAAGGGCAGGATATATTGACTTGCGGACAAAAATTGCGGACGTGACTAAAAAAAAGTGGATGTATTTTGAGGTTGTCGGATAGGTGAAAATCTTCGGATACCCGGATTCGATACCCTAACCGAAAATTCGGATATCCGGACAATCTTAATTTCCGACAATTTCAATTTTTAAGGTCAGTAGGAGGTAATCGGGTCAGTTGAATTTTTTAATTTTTTTGGCTTTGGAGGATTGGAAGAATTTGTGGAAATTCCATTTTTGAGACAAAAAAATTTATTATTTAATATAAAACTAAAAATTAATTTTTAAAAATTAAAAGAAAATTTCCAAAAAATACAAAGGATTTAAAATATTTTTTCAAAAATTTTTTTGTCCGCAAATTTTGTCCGCAAAACAATTTAAAAAAATCCCCAGACCAAACCTTTATAAATTTGCATAGAATCAGCATTAATAATTTCCCCATTGAATTGTTTAGCAATAGCAACGCCCAAATCGCTCTTTCCAGTTCCAGTACATCCAGATATTACAATTAAAGGATTTTCTATTGAATATTTTAAGGGGTCTAATGAAGTGGTCATTTTATTGAAAATTCGGGCAATTAATTTGAAAACCTGTAAAAATTAAAAAAAATAGGAGGGAAATGAGAAGACGGAAAAATTGAATAAAAAAATTAAAAACGAACCTTAAATTTATTTAAAGCAAAACGACTGGTGATCCTAACACTTCGCATAGTTATAAATATAGAAATTAATTAATTTAAAATTAAAGTCTATTAAAAACGGCCAAATTAAGTTTACAAAGGTTGTGAAAATATTTCAAAATAATTTTTAGAAATTAACAAAAAAATTTTTTTATTTTTCTCCTACAAAATGGGATCTAATGTCATTTATTAATTAAATTTCAAATTAAAATACATAACGCCAAAAAAGTTGGCGGAATTTAAACATTTCAAAAATAGACTAAACACACTCTTAAGTTAACAATTTAATTTAAGCTTATGCTTAAGTTCTAACTAAAGTATTTTACACTCTTAAGTTTAAGCTTGCAAACTTAAGTTTAAGTTTATAAACTTAAAACTTGTTTTAATCTTGCTTACTTAAGTTTACAAAAAAAAAGTTTTAAATTAAGTGAACTTAAGTTTGCAATTCAAGTTTTACAATTTCTGTTAGTAATTTTAAGCTTAAACTTAAACAAGTTTATTAAAGTTTGCTCAGGTTTATTTTTAAGCTCAGTTAAGTTTATTTAAGTTTGTTTAAGCTTAGTTAAGTTTATTTAAGTTTATTTAAGTTTACAACTTAATTTAAAGCGTTTTATGTGTTTACAACTTAATTTTTAAGTTTACCAACTTAACTTTACTTAAGTTTACCATAATTTTTAGTTCTACCAACTTACCTTTACTTAAGTTTAGCCTAAGTTTACCTTAAGTTTACCAACTTAAGTTTACCATTGTGTTGGCCGTTTTTAAGAGAATTTACTCAAATTTTCAGAATTTTTAAAATATTATGCATATATAGGATCACCATTAAAATAAATTTACAATATTAAAATGAAACCACAATTATCGAAAATAATTAGTAATTTGTCAAATTAAATTGAAAATAAATAAATGAGCGAGAAAGGGAAAGGAAGAAGAATATTTAAATACACAAACTTTATGATCAAAATTCTCGGGGGTTTCCCCCTTTTTAATTAATTAAAATTAATGAGAAAATTGTTTACTTCCATTTATCAAGGAAATTTTTTGAAGGGGAGAAAGATTAAACTTTTACACTAGAAATTAATCAAGAAAATTTTTAAAAGTTAATTAAATGTGAAAGGAGAAAAATTACGTAAAAATTAAAGACCACAGACCAGAAAAAATTTTTATTTTTATGCCCCTCTCTAGAAAAATATTCTAGAAATTTTTTGATGGACGTTGGATGGAATACTAATGGAATGCTCTCTAGATGGAATACAAAAAAATGCTCTCACAAAGGAGAGGCTGTGGGGTGTCCGTGGGATTTCAGAATGAAATTTGGTAGATTTCACAATTTTCGCTGCAAGGGAACGTGGACACCCCAGGGACACCCCACAGCCTCTTCTTTGTCAAGATGGAATACAGAGAGCATTTCTTATAAATTTCTAGTTACGGGTTGGTGATTCCGCTCTTTCCGGGTTGGTGATTCCGTTTTTTCCCATTACTTTCTGAAATTGGAGACCCTCTTCCATAACCCTTCGAAAAAGGCAAATAGGCATTTATCATCCCTTCCAAGGCCTTCTAAGACCTTCTAAAAGCTGTAGAGCTTGCTAAAAGGTAAAGGCAGTATCTTCCATTCTTTCACCAATTGCCAAGAGATACAGAATTTTTTATTTTTTGTCCGAATGGAACAAAATTGCCAGATTTTTAGTATTTTTTATATTGCAGCATGTGATGGGCGGGATTATAAATTTTATTGAAAAAATTTGGAAAACACTTGATTAAATTTACAAACTATATTCTAATAAAAGTTGTTTACCAAAATGGACCCAAATTCGCAAGAATTTATGATATAATACACAAAAGGAAAACAGAAAAAGGAAAATAATAGGGGAAGGTAACCCTCTACTTTTCGGCGCAGTTCTAGTTTAATGCTATAATCTTCTCTTTTTTTAGAATTCAATTTCAGAACCTCCCCTTTGATTGAGTTTGAGACATCTTGAAGTCTCTTTTTAATAAAAAAAAGTGAGGGAGACAAGGAAAATGAAGAAGACTCAGAATCAGCCGCTCCAAAAGGTCGAAACTTTGATCAGCCATAACTTTTCGATTTGGATGGTAGGGCCAAAAAACCAAAAATTTGTAAAAGGTTGTCCACCATGCTCTACACAATGTTATAATTTTTATTTAAAAATTTCTACTCACAGTTCGAGAGGTTCCCTTGTAAGAATGTAATGCTCATTGAAGAAAAATTTCATTGAAAAAAAATTTTTTGGAAAAAATTTTTTTTCAGCAAAAAAATTTCATTGAAACCTTTGGTCTCTCAAAAGTATGCAACAAAAATAGGTATACCCCTCCTATTTTTTGTCACATTTCGTTCAGATCAAAAGGTAAAAAATTATTTTTTATTCACATTTATTTAATAAATCACTTAAATTCTGTCCATCTTTATTAATAATTGTGTTTGTTTAATTTTTTATCGTCTTAGTTCAAAGATCTCCCTCCAATATTAGTTAGACCAACAAACCTCGAAGTAGAGTTGGTCGAGGTCTCGCCGAGGCCGAGGTCCTCGCCCATTCTCAAACCTTGACCTCGATTTTGCTGATCTCGGGCCTCGGAACCTCGTCTCAATCCTCGCCCAGAACCTCACCGGAGATCGAGGTCGACCAACTCGACTAACCTCGCTCTCGACCAACTCTACTTCAAAGAGGAACAAAAATTTAGAGCCGAAACCTCCTCTACGCCCAAAAACATTTTTAATTCCTTCCCCAACCACTAAAATGATTAAACATCTAAATTATCACAAACATGCCCAAAAAAACAAAAATTTATTTTATGGCCGAGTCAAAAGTCACACTTTCCTTTTCACTTCCCCCTTTTCCCCTCATGATTTTTTTGTAACATTTTGTTGAGATCAAAAGTTAAGAATTACTTTTTTTCCTTTTTAATGATTAAATTTTGTCCATTTTCATAAACAAGTGTGTGGTTGTTTGTTTAAATTTTCTCTAATATTTTTTCTGCTGATCTTTAATGTCTTAAGATTGGTGGTAAATTTGGTTTTGAGAGAATCCTCCGATAAAAACATTGAAAAAATAAAGAAGAAAATAAATACAGGCTGTACATTTATTCGCAAAACACTTGTTATTAAAACCGGAAAACACAAAAATGAGAAAAGCTTAACTGAAAATATTTTCCGGAAAACACAAAAATCAGTAAAGCTTAACTGAAAATACATATAATGTGTTTCTTTTCCGGAAAGAAACACCTCAGAATTTATAGGGGTAAAATTATTGTGTTTTTAAACTTTTTGTTGCTGTAAATTCCTTTTTTTGTTTCCGGAAAAGAAACACATTTCTATAGTTTCAGTTAAGTGTAAATTCTGATTTTTTGTATTTTCCGAAACAGTTAATTTACATAATTCTGGTTTTTATATTTTCTGGGATGTTTTGGTAAATTTAGTAAATTCTGGTTTTGTATTCTTCCGGAAAATCTTTTAGTTCTGGTTATATTTTAAATTCTGATTTTTTTCCGGAATACATATTTATTTAAGTAAGATTCTGATTTCTGTTTTTCGTCCGGAATTTATCCTTAGGAAAGTTTTAAATTTTATTAATTTCAGACTAAATACAAGAGAGAGTGAACTAATTCCCCTTTCTACTGTAGCCCCCCCCCTCCCCAAGAAAATTGCCATTTTTAATGTCAGAATCTCATCGTCTCCACATTTAATTTCCAATTTAGTCGCGATTATATGGGCCTTAATTTTATTTTTGCAAATTTTCTGCAAAAAATTGGACAGACATGTTGAACGACGATGTAGGAGGTAAAAATAGGCAAAAAAGAGACCAAAAATGAAACACTTTCACGTGATTTTTTTGTTGGAGGAGAGGGTAGTCCCCTTAACTTATTTTAAAGATTAGTATACTCACATTTTATAATGCAAAGTCAACAAACAAAGTTGTTAAAATGAAAAAAATTATGTTAAAAATAATATTATTTGTTAAAAAATTTTTTTTAGCAAATTGAGATCGACGAAAAATTAAAAAAGAAAAAAATTTTTCAAAAATAGTAAAACCTAAAGTTTGGAAAAAATAAATTTGGTACATTTTCTTGGGAATGGATAGGCAAATTTGGTTCGGAACCGACAACCCTACTCAGTATCCTATATAAAATACCTACCGTATTTCCTCTACAATAGCCCCTCACTCTAAAATAGCCCTCACTCTAAAATAACCTCCCCTTCTAAAATAGCCCCCCTCTAGAGGTCGATCGAAAAAATAACCCCCGGGGGGTAATCTTTATCTTAATTATATAATTAATGTATTTTAAATCCTAATGTTATGTTTTCTGGAAATTTCGTGTGGGTTCCTGTTTCTCCCTGGATTTTTAATTATTAATTTAGTCTAACTTTTTAAAACGAAAATGATTTTAAATAAACATGATTTTATTCAACCTTGTATAAACAAAAAATATTTAAATTTAATATTTTTTCGATAATTTCCTTTCTTCTAATTACAAAAAATTCTTTAATTTATCCAGTAGAATTAACTTGCATAGACTGAACCAATCCGGCACTCAAAGCCCCACTAGCAATTATTTTAGCAGATTGAACCAGATCAACAACTATAGGTCCTCCTACGCCTGTATTTATTGTTGGAGGTGTTGTTGCTGAGGGTGTGGGAATATTTGAAGTATTTGAACTTGTTGAATTACTCGGGGGTGGTGTGGAGGTACATGGAAGGACTTCTGAATAATTCCCTCTGAAAATTAAAAAAAATTATTTTCTGGAGGGTTATTAGACGGATATTATAGGGATTGTCCTAAAATGAAAAAGGATTCGTACTTCGTAACACCCCTATTTTAGGCTTTGTACTCGTGCTAATTTTTGGTACTTGCTAATTTTTGGCCTCATACTTCGTACTCGCACCTTTTACCAGCCTAATTTTTTGCTCGTACTCGTGCTAATTTTGGTACGAGCTTATAAAACTGATCTCGATTCGATTAGAGTGCTGGATAGGAGGCTACGTCCCGAAATACTAAGTTTTAAGCGACAAACGGAA